GTGAAAAAAAAAAAAAAAAAAAAAACCTTCCAGGTAGCTGCTAACTGCTGAGAAAGTAAGAGGGAGGAACAAACTGGAAAGAAGAAAGCTGCTGGCTGAGTGGCCTATAAGAGACCTTAGGAATTGCAAATGCTGGGGAAAGAAAGGTAAAAAAGACATCTTTTGTGGAGTCTGTATCACGGACAAAACATGGGGTTGAATGACTGAAGGCAACAGAATCACCTGTGAAGGGAGATACTAATAAACACTGAATGCTCATAGCCAAGAACTCATCAAACCTAAGACCTTTCTTTAGAAAACAATGTAAATTTTATCATGTCTCTTACACATTTAAAACTACCTAGTGTGCTTCTTAGAATTTAGAATTCCTTGCTGGGGACTCCAGAGCCCCCACAGCTTCATCTTTGTGTCTGAGGAAGTAGACAGCTTCCTCCTGTTTATTTCATAGAATTTGCTGCTTTCTACTTCCTCTTTTTCCATATATTCTTTTCAATTCTTTTTAAAATTGCTACATGAAGTGTTAGATATATTCATGGCAGTTTGAAAAAAGTATGTTTTAGGGAAGCTTTTTGGTGTCCCATGTATCTTTTGAGCACTCCAATCTTGTTCACCACTGTTTAATACCCTCTTCTTGGTATCCTTTCTAGTGTTTTAGCCTTTGCTCAGATCTACATCTTTTTTTTTTTTTTTTTAAGATTTATTTATTATGGGTAATGTTTTACCTGCATGCATGTCTACACACTGGAAGAGGGCACCAGATCTTATTATAGATGATTGTAAGATGATTGTAAGCCACTCTGTAGTTGCTGGGAATCCAATAGGAATTGGATTCAGGTCCCCAAGGAAGAGCAGCCAGTGTTCCTAACCTCTGAGCCATCTCTCCAGTCCACATCGTTTTATATGTATAAAAAAGAGGTAAGGATACCCATATGAGGAAAAGTCTATGGTCTTTGTCATCCTGAATTTTAGTCACCTCACTTGATATTTTCTTTTCAGATCTATTCATTTTATGTTTTTCTCTTGTCTTAGTGTTGTAGTTAAGACTTGGGGTGCCACATTGGATTAAAAGACATGAAAATGGACATCCTTGTCTTATTCCTGATTTTATAGGAAATATTCTCAGTTTTTCTCTATTTAGTAGAATGTTAGATATCATGTTGTTGCATATACACTTTAGCATTCTGAGGTATGTTCTATCAATTTCTAATGTCTCTAAGACTTATGTTAAAGGATTTTGAACTTTGTCAAATGTTGCTTTTGTACTCGTCAAAATGAATATGTGACTTCTGTCCTTTGTATCATGTATTCCATTTATTGGTTCATGTGTGTTGAGGTAACTTTGTATCTCTGTGATTACATCCACTTAGCCATGATGTATGATCTTTTAATGTGTTTCTGAATTCAGTTTGCAAGTATTTTGCTGAGATTTTTTTTTTGTATCTGCTTTTATCAGGGAAATTATTCTGCATCTCTCTCTCTCTCTCTCTGTGTGCCTCCCTCCCTGCCTGCCTGCCTGCCTGTGTGTGTCCTTAAGTGTTTTTGAGTGTGTCTGTTTGTCTAGTTTTGGTATCGGGGTAATCCTGGCCTCAGCATGTATTTCTCCATGCAGTTTTATGAAACAAATTGAAAATCTGTAGCAATACATAAAAATATCTTAAACAGAAAAAAGTGTATATATATATATATATATATATATATATATATATACTGTATAACAAAAATAAACATAAATTTGTATCAATATATAAAAATATTTTAATCAGAACTGGAAACATATATACAGTATAACAAAATTACCTAAATTTGTATCAATATACAAGAATCCACACCAATGTAAAATATTTAAAACCAATAGTTGCTTTTTTTTATTTTGAAAGTGGATTTAATAATTTACCTCTTTATCCTAACATATCTGTCCCCCCTTTTCTTTTCCAAATGAGATCTCTAAAGCTAATCTCTTTTGTTCAGCCCTATACCCTATAACAACTTGTAACCAACCCCCTTATAAGATGATAAATATCCATAACCTTGAGAAAGATCAAAAAGCACCCATCCTACCTCTTGGGAAAGTGGACATTGTGTTCTTAAATTGCTACCTGCTGTCTGCAGGGAGATGACATCTCTAGGGGGCACTGAAAACAAAAACAAACAAACAAACAAACCAAACAAACAAAAAACCAAGAAACAAATGAAACAGTGTTCAAGTCTCTGAGTAATGGCAAAGTGAATAGTTTATGTGAAGTCCTGGCTAGAGTGGTACATCTCAGCCAGCTACCTTGGAATTGTCCTGAGTTGTATGTAATTCAAAGCCAATCTTTGGGTGGTGATTATTGGTTTTGGTGGCATTGTCATGAACCAGGTAGAACTGTCCTTATGGAACCCCAACTTCCTTTTGAATATCCATATGGGGGGAAAGGATCTGAAAATGGCCCTTGGTAAAAGACTGTAACAATGAAACAAACAAACAAAAAAAAAAAAAACCCAACAACGAATGTGGGGGTTTTTTTGTGGTTGGTGGTTGTTTGTTTTTGTTTTTCCATCCTGCTAATGTTTGGTTTAAGGAGTATTTGCCTATTAGACTGTCTAGAAAACAAGATACTTCAGGTATAAATGGAATCAGGGAGGGATAAAAATGAGGAGGGTGTTCAAAATACTTTATATCTTTGTGAAAGATTTTCTACACTGACATGATGGATGGGTAGCTTTTGTCACTGATGGGTCATGATGACATTAGTACAATAAGGACCAGGTCACTTGTGGCTTTCCTTTTGGTTGCACACCAGGTGTCTTTAAAACTTGAAGTTCCTGCATTACAATGAATCTGTTTAGTCATTTCACTAGGATAGGCTTACCAAAACAAAATGCTTTGAGTTGGAGGGATTAAGAGTAGAAAAAAAAAAAAAAAAAAAAAAAAAAAAAGCCAAGAAAGAGAGAAGAAGATGGAATTGTCATTCAATGATGTTTTTATAATAAAATTGGTTATAGGTAATGGTCAATTTCATGCCTCCTCCTTCCAAGATGAAGAAATTCATTCCCTGTAAAACTCTGATTTTGAGTTACTAATGCTCACTAAGTCACTTAGTAAGTAAGCATTTACCAAGTACCTATAAAGGACAAGTCTCTACCTGCCTCGAACAGCCCTCATAATTAAATTAAAATAAGGCTAGTACAAAACTGAAATAAAGAGACATATATTAATTATAGCAAAACAAGGAATAATATTTTGGAGTGAATTTACGTAGTTAGGAGAGCAAAATCTCTCTCACTTGAGACATATGAAATAGTAACTGAGTCACAGTGGTGTCTTGGGGGCTAGAAGAAGAATCAATCAACTACTAACCATATCCTTTTGAACACATATACACATACACACACACACATTTTTGTGACCCAACTGGCTCTTTATAAAAATGTTTTCTATTGCTAACTCAGAGAGGAATGCAAGACAATATGTCCCCATCTTTTAAGCTTTGAAGACATTTTTTTAACCATTACAGTCTCCAAAAAAGAGTCACTAAGTTTTCTATAAAATTCATTTAGAGCTGGGAAAATGGCTCAGATGAAAAGACAAACAAACACAATGAAATGTTTGTTCTGCATAAACATGAGGCTTGGAGTTCAAATCCCTGATACCTTGTCAATTTCAGGTACAGTGGCTTGCCAATAATGTCAGTGTCAATGCCAGGCAGGCATAGTTGCTCACCTAGACAAAAGGGCTCACCTAGGATTCAACACATGAGAAATGGATATTCTTCTAAGTCCTCTTTTGTATTGTAGAGGTATGGCTATCCATTCTAGATCATTTCTGTCTACAGTAGCTATTTAGCTAATCTCTTTAATTTGTTAACTGGCCCCACTTTATGCCTTTCCATGACCAGGCACCAATTCTAGAGAAAATTCCTCTTGTTCAAGGATAATTCTTACAGAACAAAACCAACAAGGTAAACTTTCAGAATTGTTTCTACACAGTTTCTCTATGCATTAGATCACTGACAACTTATGTTAGTGTTATCTAGTCCCTACTCTATAATTGCTCAGATTTTATCTTTACACAACAGAACCTGACCCTGGGATGGAAAAAATGTTATCATAATGTTCTGTTTCCACAGAGCTTCCCAAATTATCAACCACTTCGTGCCACCCTCAGACATTCTCTGTGATCAGAAGCATGTGCTTTTTGTCATATTTGCAAACCACTGACACTATTATTACTCTTTTCTAGTCTATACATCACTATTATGATGTTCTATTTCCTTGATTATATTTGACCTTATCCTAGTAACATCTGTGGTTAAAAAAATCGTAGGATTGAATTGTTATAGTCCTATATAATATTCATTTTACCAAACCAGAGTTCTGAGTTCTCGTTTTTTATATTTATTCACCATATTGGTGGTTTTTTTTTTTTAAAAAAAATAATTATTCTTCATCCTAATTCTCTTCTTTGTTACTTGGATGAGATCATTCTAGTTTCATGTTCCTTGTATCCAGTACAAATTACGTGTCCTATACAAAGTAGCTAGGGTTTCAGTATAAATGTGTGAAAAAGACAAACAAATCAGCAAATAAAAACAACTACACTAGGCCAAGTCCCATTTCTGTCCCTCTAAATATCCATCATTGAAACTCTGTAAACTATTAACTGCTGTCATTCATTACATGGGAAGAATGACTCAGCTGTCATAATGTTTAGAGGGTCATTGTGACCTGAAGTCCTCCAACCACATTTCTGATATTAGATCTCATGCAAAATAAAAAAGAAGACAAAAATTCAGAATATCGCTCATCATGGACCAGAAATTATATATAGTAGTGATGTTGTATAACTTTGACAGTTTAAAGTTAAAAGTGAGTTTGATTCTTATAGTATTTTTCTAATATTGCATTAAATGTATATATTCAAATGTTACCAAATATATTACAAGCTAATTATAAAATGCAGATAGAAATGATTTGAATATGAAAAACTTTTTTTCATATGCATTTTTTCCTTTCAAAAGGCCAGGGATCCTGGGAAGAAGAAAATGTTCCTGGAAACCATGGATGGTTGCTCTTACTACCACAGCTGTTTTGTTGGCTTTGGCAGTAATCACTGGTCTCCTTGTTTATTTTTTGGTGTTTGGTAAGGCCACATTTTATTATATTATTTTGGAAACTTAAAGGCTGACTACATTATTTCTAGACCTTAGCATTTTCAGTTACAGAATGGAGATTTTATTTGAATAAATTTGAGCAATAGTAATCTTCAACTTAAAAAGTCATTTCTCATACTCAAAATCTGATGCTGTCCATGTAATACCATCTTTTGAATAGCACAAAAAGTTCACCTGATATTCTATTTATCGTGTGATGATATAAATGCTAATGGTAACATTTATTATATTAGAAGTTTTTACTTTGCTGTCAATTTATTGTATCATGTCTGTCATTAATTAAAAGTTTAAATTCTTGAATTGTCACCTACTATGAAACACCACCTATAATAGGAAGTAATTGTGTCAGGAAATAACATACAACCACAGTAGCTATGAAGATATATTATCTTTAAGTGGTTAGGGGGAGACACTGGCAACATCTATTGGATATGTAATTTTCTGAAGTACACCGATTATATGGCTGTCAGTCTGTTCGATGTTGCTATAATAAATTCTTTATATGACTGGATATTTTGTTAGTAAAAGAAGCTTTAGATGACTGACAGTGCTACAGGCTGGTTTAGATGACTGCAACCAACTCAAACCAAACACGAAGATAGCATTGTGGGAGGAGCCCAGGTCAGGACTGAGTAGTGCCTGAAAAAGAGATCACAGGACAAGACAGACAAGGAAGAGCGTGGATTTCTTAAGAATTAATTGCCTGTGAGGACTAACCCGTTCTGTAAAACAAATATTAATCTCTGGGGTGATCAAAGCAATCAGCTACCCCTATTCTCACCTATTGTAGGATCCATGCCATTCAGTACTATTATCTGGAGGACCAAGCTTCCAACATAAAAATCATCAGAGGAAAAATTGTGCAACCTCTCCTTCTTCTACTCAAAGGGATCAGCATAAATGATCCATTTCTGTTCTGCCTTTCAGATCAGAAGAGTCATTACTACCAGTCCTCTTTCTGGATTCCCAGCATTACATATAGCCCAGATTTGTCCATAGAACAGTCAAGACATCGGACAAACCTGAAACAAAAACTCATCAATGAGGTAAATTTATGCTTTGCCACTAGTACCATTGCTACTCTAGAAGTATATAAGGTAGAGACCTGAAGTATATAAGAGAAGACACCTGATGTCAACTTCTGGCCTCACACAAATTCACACACACACACACACACACACACACAGAGAGAGAGAGAGAAGTGATCTTTTAAACATGTGTATATTCATACACACCACACAGGCAAGAAAAAAACAATGTAGAGAACATTTGAGAACATTGTTAGTTTGTAAACGATACAATGCAAGTAACATTCACCCTCTGGTATGGAGTTTATTGACTAATTCACAGTAGTAGTTGCATTTTCATAAACGTAAATATGAAAACCTGTAACTAAATAAAATGTTGTATATTTTCTGTACGATATACAAAAGATAGTAGTTTGTATGTTTACATGGGTGCAAATATACCCAAAACATACCCGATTCTTTTCTTTCTTTCTTTCTTTCCTTCTTTCTTTCTTTCTGTTTTTTCTTATTTTACATATTGATCCCAGTTCCCAGTCCCTCTCTCTCCCTCCCTCTCATATCCCCCGACCACACTCCCATCCCATCCCTCTCACACTCCACAGGGAAGGTGATGTCTTCCAGGAGGGATCAACAAAATTTGTCAAGCCCTTGCGAGTATACCTAGGCTCTCCTCCTGCCTCTAGGTTAAGGGAGTATCCCTCCATGGGAAATGTGCTCTCAAAGTCCTTTTGTGCACCAGGGATAGATCCTGGTTCCACTGTCAGAAGTCTCTTAGACTGCCCAGGAGTTCTAAATGAGACCCAGGTTCAGGGGGTCTAAGTTGCATACAAGGTTCTTTTTTTTTATTTTATTTTTATTTTACATATCACCCAGTTCCCTCTTCCTCCCTTTCTCCCCCCTCCCTCCCTCTTTTCCTCTCTCTCCTCCTCAATGCACCCCGACAACCCTCCCCTCCCATCCCCCCAATACTCCACATGTAGGGTGATGCCATCCAGGAAGGGGTCAATTAAATCTGACAAGTCATTTGAAGTAGGGACTAGGATTTCTCTCCTGTCTCTAGGTAAAGGGAGTATCCCTCCATGGAGGCTGTGCCTGGAAGGTCCTTTGTGCACCAGGAATACATCCTGGTACCATTGTCTGAGGTCCCTTAGACGTCTCAGTCCTTCTAGCTGAGACCCATGTTCGGGGGGCTGAGTCAGTCCCATGCTGGATTCCCAGCTATCGGTCTGGGGGGGGGGCATTAGCTCCTCCTTGTTCAGGTCAGCTGTCTCTATGTGTTTCTGCCACCTGGTCTTGTCCTCTCACTCTGCATCTGGATTCTATTTCGACTCAGTGTTTAGGTGTGGGTGTTTGCTTCTGTTTCCAACAGGTAATAGATGAGGGCTCCATGATAGTGCATAAGTTAGTTGTTAATCTCATTATAAGAAAAGGGCATTTATAGTACCCTTTCTACTGTTGCTCAAATTGATAGAGTCTTGTGACTGGGTTACCTCATTCAGGATGGTTTCTTCAAGTGCCATCCACTTGCCTGCGAATTTCAAGATTCTATTGCTTTATTCTACAGAGTAGTATTCCACTGTGTAGACGTGCCACATCTTCTTAATCCACTCTTCAGTTGAGGGCATCTAGGTTGCTTCCAGGTTCTTGCTATTACAAATATAATGAACATAGTGGAGCGCATATATTTGTTGCATGGATGTGGATCATTTGGGTATATGCCTAAGAGGGGGACTCCCAGGTCCTGTGGAAGATGATTCCCATTTTCCTGAGGAACCACCATACTGATCTTCAAAATGGCTGTACAAGTTTTGCACTCCCACCACCAGTGGAGGAGTGTTCCCCTTTCTCCATATCCTCTCCAGAATAAGTTGTCCTTGGTGTTTCTAATTGTAGCCATTCTGGCAGGAGTAAGATGTTATCTTAAAGATGTTTTGATTTGCATTTCCCTGATAGATTAAGATATTGAACACTTTCTTAAGTGTCTTTCAGCCTTTTTGATTTCCTCTATAGGGAAATTTCTTTTCAGCTCTGTACCCCATTTTTAAAAGTTTTTTTTTTTTTTTTTTTTTTTTTTTGGTGTTTGTTGACTAGTTTCTTGAGTGCTTTATATATTTTGGAGATCAGCCATTTTTCAGATGTAGGATTGGTAAAAATCTTGTCCCAGTCTGTGGGCTGCCATTTGGTCTTGTCCACTGTGTCCTTTGCCTTACAGGAGTTTCTAAGTTTGAAGAGGTCCCACTTATTAATTGTTAATCTCAGTGTCAGGGCTCCTGGAGTTATGTTCAGGAAGCAGTCTCCTACACCAATTTCTTAAAAGATACCTCCTACTTTCTCTTCTAAGAGGTTCAATGTGGCTGGATTGATTTTGGGGTCTTTGATCCACTTGGACTTCTGCAGACTTCTACACACCATCATCCAATTATACCAGCACCATTTGTTGAAGATGCTTTCCTCCCTCCATTGTATACTCTTAGCTGTTTTGTCAAAAATAAGGTGTTCATAGCTATGTGGGTTAATATCAGGATTTTCAATTTGATTACATTGGTCTACATGTATATTTTTGTGGCAATACTAGGCTGTTTTCAGAACTATAGCTCTGTAGTAGAGCTTAAAGCCAGGTATGGTGTTGCCTCCTGAAGTTCTTTTATTGTACAGGGTTGTTTTGGCTATCCTGGGTCTTTTATTTTCCCATATAAAGTTGATTATTATCCTTTCAAGATCCATGAAGAATTGTGTTGGATTTTAATGGGGACTGCATTGAATATGTAGATTGATTTTGGCAAGAATGCCATTTTTACTATATTTATCCTATCTATCCAAGAGCATGGGGGATCTTTCTATTTTCTGGTATCTTCTTTTGTTTTTTCTTTAAAGCCACAAAGTTCTTATTGTATAGGTCCTTCACTTGTTTGATAAGCGTTACCGCAGGATGTTGTTTGTGGCTATTGTAAAGGGTGGTGTTTGTCTGATTTCTTTCTCAGCCCCTTTGTTGTCTGAATAAAGTAGGGCTCCTGAATTTTTTCTGTTTATCTTGTATCTTCCTAGTTTTCTGAAGGAGTTTATCAGCTGTAGGAGTTCCCTGGTAGAGTTTATTGGGTTGCTTATGTATGTTATCATATCATCAGCAAATAGAGACAGTTTGACTTCTGCCTTTCCAATTTGAATCCCCTTGATCTCCTTTTGTTGTCTCATAGCTTTAGCTAGAACTTCAAGTACAATATTGAAGACATATGGAGAAGAGGACAGCCTTATCATGTTCCTGATTTTAGAGGAATCACCTGAAGCTTCTCTCCATTCAGTTTGATGTCGGCTGTTGGTTTACTGTATATTGTTCTTATTATGTTTAGGTATGTTCCTGTTATCCCTGACCTCTCCAATACCTTTATCATGAAAGGGTGTTGAATTTTGTCGAAGGCTTTTTCAGCATCTAGGGAGATGATCATATGGTTTTCCTTTTTCAGTTTGTTTATAAGGTGGATTACATTGATAGATTTTTGTATGTTAAACCATCCCTGCAATCCAGGGATGAAGCATACTTGGTCATGGTGGATGATTTCTCTGATGTATTCTTGGATTTTGTTTGCCAGTATTCTATTGAGTATTTTTTGCATCGATGTTCATCAGGGATATTGGTCTGTAGTTTTCTTTCTTAGTTGTGTCTTTGTGAGGCTTGAGTACCAAGGTTATTGTGGCCTCGTAAAAAGAGTTTGGTAGTGAACCTTCTGTTTCTATTGTGTGGAACAATTTGAGGAGTATTGGTATTAGCTCTTCCTTGAATTTCTGGTAGAATTTTCCACTGAAGCCATTTGGCCCTGAGCTTTTTTTTTTTTTTTTTTTTTTTTTTGGTTGGAAGGCTTTCAATGCCTGCTTCTATTTCGTTAGGGGTTATAGGTCTATTTAAGTTGTTTGTCTGGTCTTGATTTAATTTTGGTAGGTGATAGTTATCTAGAAATTTGTCCATTTCCTTTGAAGTTTCAGATTTTGTGGAGTACAAGTTTTCACAGTATGACCTGAAAATTGTCTGGGTTTCCTCTGTATCCGTTGCTATGTCCCCCTTTTCCTTTCTGTTAATTTGCATGATCTTGCTCTGCTTTTCATTAGTTTGGATAAACGTTTATCTATCTTGTTTATTTTCTTGAAAAACCAACTCTTGGTTGCATTGATTTTTTTTGTATTGTTTTCCTGGTTTCTATTTTATTGATTTCAGCCCTCAAATTGATTATTTCCTGGCATCTATTCCTCCAGGGTGAGTTTGCTTCTTTTTCTTGTAAGGCTTTTATTTGTGCTATGAATTCTCCTATGTGACTATCCTCTGTTTTCTTCATATGGGCACTTCCCTCGTAACACTGCTCTCAAGGTGTCCCATAAGTTTCGGTATGTTGTGTGTTCATTCTGGTTGAATTTAGGAAGTCATTAATTTCTTTCTTATTTCTTCTTTGACACAGGTATGGTGCAATCTGCGTTGTTCAGTTTCCATGAGTTTATAGGGTTTCTGCGATCTGTGATGTTTTTGAATTCCAATTTTAAAGCATAGTGGTCTGATAAGATACAGGGGACAATTCCAATTGTTTTGTATCTGTTGATGTTTCTTAGGTCGCCTACTATGTGGTCGATTTTAGAGAAGGTTCTATGTGAAGCAGAAAAGAAGTTATATTCTTTTGTGTTTGGATGGAATGTTCTATAGATGTCTGTTAAACCCAATTGAGACATAACTTCTTTTAGTTCTTTTGTTTCTTTGTTATGTTTGTGTCTTGTGGTCTTGTCTAGTCCATTTCTTTTGAATTTTCAATTTCTGTGGAATACTGGTTTTCAAAGTATGATCTGAAAATTGTCTGCATTTCCTCTGTGTCTGTTGTTATGTTCCCCTTTTCGTTTCTCATTTTGTTAATTTGCATGCTCTCTCTTTGCTTTTTCGTTAGTTTGGATAAAGGTTTGTCTATCTTGTTGATTTTCTCAAAAAAACCAACTCTTCGTTGCATTGATTTTTTTGTATTGTTTTCCTGGTTTCTATTTTGTTGATTTCAACCCTCAAATTGATTATTTCCTGGTGTCTACTCCTACAGGGTGAGTTCCCTTCTTTCTGTACTAAGGCTTTCAGTTGCGCTTTTAATCCTCTTATGTGACTATCCTCTGTTTTCTTCATGTGGGCACTTAGAGCAATGAACTTCCCTTGTAGCACTGCTTTCTCGGTGTCCCATAAGTTCGGTATGTTGTGTCCTCATTCTCGCTGAATATTAGAAAGTCCTTAATTTCTTTCTTTATTTCTTCTTTGACCCAGGTGTTGTGCAATTGCACATTGTTCAGTTTCCATGAGTTTGCAGGTTTTCTGCTATATGTGTTGTTGAATTCCAGTTTTAAAGCATGGTGGTCTGATAAGGTACAGGGGACTATTCCTATTCTCTTCTATCTGTTGAGGTTTGTTATGCCACCTTATGTGGTCGATTCTAGAGAAGGTTCCATGTGCAGCAGAGAAGAAGGTATATTCTTTTGTCTTTGAATGGAATGTTCTATAGATGTCTGTTAACCCCAGTTGAGACATAACTTCTGTTAATTCTTTTGTTTCTTTGTTGAGTTTCTGATTTGTTGTCCTGTCTTGTGTTGAGAGTGGTGTATTGAAGTCTCCCACTATAAGTGTGTGAGGTTTTATGTGAGGTTTGAGTTTTAGTAGTGTTTCTTTTACGAATGTGGGTGCCTTTGTATTAGGGGCATAGATGTTCAGAACTGAGACTTTGTGTTGATGGATTTCTCCTGCGATGAATACGAAATGACCGTCTTTATCTCTTTTGATTAATTTTGGTTTGAAGTCTAACTTGTTAGATACTAGGATAGCCATGCCTGCTTGCTTCTTGGTTTCATTTGATTGGAAGATCTTTTCCCAAAACTTTACCCTGAGGTAATGTCTATCTTTGAAGCTTAGATGTGTTTCTTGTATGCAGCAGAAGCATGGATTCTGTCTTCATATCCATTCTGTTAGCCTGTGTCTTTTTATAGGTGAGTTAAGACCATTAATATTGAGGGTAAGGACCATTGATTGTTGATGCTTGTTTGTTTTAGGTTTGTTGTTGGCAGTGGTATTTTGAATATATTGATTCTGCTTTATCCTTGGTTTCTGGTGTAGTTAGATTATCTGTGGCCTACATTTTTGTGGATGTAGTTACCTTCCTTGGGTTGGAGTTTTCCTTCCAATACGTTCTGTAGGGCTGGATTTGTAGATACATATTGGGAAAATCTGGTTTTGTCATTAAATATCTTGTTTTCTCCATCTGTAGTGATTGCGAGTTTTGCTTGGTATAGTAGCATGGGCTGGCATCTGTGTTCTCTTAATACTTGTAGAACATCTATCCAGGACCTTTTGGCCTTGAGGGTTTCCATGGAGAAGTCAGGTGTAATATGGATAGGTCTGCCTTTATATGTTACCTGTCCTTTTTCCTTCGCCGCTCTTAATATTCTTTCTTTATTCTGTATGCTAGGTGTTTTGATTATTATATGTTGAGGGGTCTTTTTTCTTTGGTCCAGCCTATTTGGTGTTCAGTATGCTTCTTGTACTTCATGGGCATGTCCTTCTTCAGATTGGGAAAGTTTTCCTCGATGATTTTGTTGAATATGTTTTCGGCACCTTTGAGCTGGGCATCCTCACCTTCCTCTATGCCTATTATTTTTAGGTTTGGCCTTTTCATGGTGTCCCACATATCTTGGATGTTTTGTGTTAAGGATTTGTTGGATTTATGATTTTCTTTGGTCAATGAATCTATTTCTTCTCGTTTATCTTCTGTGCCTGAGATTCTCTCTTCCATCCTGATTTTTTGCCCAGTTTTTCTATTTCCAGCAATCCTTGGTTTGTGTTGCCTTTATTTTCTCTATTTCAGTTTTCAAGTCTTGAATCGTTTTCCTCACCTGTTTAACTGTTTTTTTTTTTCCCCTTGGCTTTCTGTACTTTCTTTACTTTCCTTAAGGAATTTGTTCATTTCTTCTAATTTTATTTGTTTTTTCTTCCATTTCTTTAAGGGATTTTCTCACATCTTCTTTGAGGTCCTCTATCATTTTTATGATGGTAATTTTTAAGTCGTACCCTTCTGCTTCCTCTGCTTTGTTGTTGTGTTCCATTCTAGTTGAGGTAGATTCCCTAGATTCTGGTGGTGTCATGCTTGCCTTTTGTTGTTAGGTGTTTTCTTGTATTGCCATCTTCCCATAGCTTCTTCCAGTAGGTGTTGGTGTTGTCTCCCCCTCTCTCTATGGTACTTCCCTGGTGGGCTTATGTGCTCAGAGGTTCAATATCTGTAGCTCTGAGTAGTCCAAGCTATATAGGAGGTCTCTCTGCAGACAGGGACCCAGGGATGGGGTCAGGGATGAGCATCCATTAGAAAATGCCTGCAGAAACTCAGAGTCTGGCGGGTCTCTGTGAGGGGCCCGGGACTCCAGTAGAGTTCTGGAGGTGGGGTCAGAGACAAGCAGGTGGGAATTACAGGTGGTCCTGCGTGGATAGGCAGGTCTCCTTTGTTCAGATTCGCTCTGATAAGTCCCCCAAAGTAGTGTGAACTCTAGGCGATGGCTCTAGCCAATGGCTGGCAGAAGAGGACAATAGCTGGGCTGATACTGGGGATGTTTCTGCCCAGATATTCAGATCTCACTGGGAACTGGCACTCTCCAGCTGAGGCCTCTTTCTTTAGCAGAGGCCCTGCTTTGGGGGTCAAGGTTCTTGCCTGCAGTAACTCAGAGTGGACCTGCAGTGATAGTATGATCTCTGGGAGGGGTCCAGGACTCCAGCAGAGGACTGGAGGTGGGAGTCAGAGACCAAGCAAGTGGAAATTACAGGTTGTCCTGCGTGGATAGGCACGTCTCCTTTGTTCAGAGTTGAGAAGTCCCTGAAGTAGTGTGGACTGTTGACTCTACCCTCTGTTCCAGTGCTCAACCAGAGATGCAAGACTGTCAGCAGGGTAGGGCACAGGGTAGGGGGGGGCAGGCTCGCAGTGGGGATGGGTATCAGAGCTCCAAGGGTGCTCTTGATGGGGACAGGACACAGGAGCAGCGGGATCAGGGGCCAACCTAGGGAGTTTGAGGGGAGGGGAGGTTGTAGGGGAGAGGCCACCCCAGTTGGGCCCAGACTCACCTCTAGCCAATGGCTGGCAGAAGAGGACAAAGGCTGGGCTGATACTTGGGAAGTTTCTGCAGGATAGTCAGATCTCACTGGGAACTGGCACTCTCCAGCTGAGGCCTCTTTCTTTAGCAGAGGCCCTGCTTTGGGGGTCAAGGATCTTGCTGGCAGGAACTCAGAGTGGACCTGCAGAGATAGGCAGATCTCTGGGAGGGGGCCCGGGACTCCAGCAGAGGACTGGAGGCGGGGTCAGAGACCAAGCAGGTGGAAATTACAGTTGGTCCCACATGGATAGGCAGGTCCTCTTTGTTCAGAGTTGAGAAGTCCCCAAAGTAGTGTGGACTGTTGTCTCCACCCTCTGTTCCAGTGCTCAACCAGAGTGGTGGGACAGTTGGAAGGGTAGGGCACAGGATAGGGGAAGGGCAGGCCTTTGGTGGGGGTGGGTGGGTGTGCATCAGTGCTCCAAGAGCACTCTCGATGGGGACAGGACACAGGGGGAGCGAGATCTGGGGCCAATCAGTGAGTTCCCAAGGAAGGCTGTCAGTGGGATTCCACCCAAATTTGTCCCAGACTCACCTTAACTGAGTCCTGGAGATGGGGGTCAAAGACGATGGGGCTCAAAGACTAGGCTGATACTCAGGATGTTTCATCACCTATGGGCGGATCTAGCTGGGGTGTGGCACTCTCCATCTGAAGCCTCTTTAACAGAGGCCCAGTGATGGAGGTCAAGGATCTAGCCTGCAGGAACTCAGAGTGGCCGCTTACCAGGTTCTTTAGGTAATGACTTTAAGTGATTTCAATGCTCTTTGTAGTAGATTCTCTAAATAATTTTTTAAGTATACATACATACATATATATATATATATATATATATATATATATATTAGTTTTATCCTATACACTATACATGTATAAATATAACTGTTTACATAAAATTCTTCTAAATTAGCTAAAAAGAAACAGGTGGCCTTTGTTTTACTAACAGCTATTGATCTTCTTACATTTATCTTCTCAGTCTGTCGAATATAACATCACATGACAAGAAGATATCATAAATTATATGAGATGAGTAAATAACATTATTCTTATACAGCTCATTTCACTAATTGGCAGCACAACGGAGATTTTTGCAATTACCTGCTCAGACTCAGTATGGTCAAGTTTATCATGACGGAGTCAGCTTGATGAGTCAATAATAATAAATGGGCTTTCAAGAACTGTCTTCCTGTTGTCATCGCTCCTGCTTTGTTAAGATATAAGTTGATCTAAGATCTTTTTACCACCAATGAAGTATTCCATATAATAAAGCTGTGGCTTTCATAGATATATTTTATTCTACAATGATATTTTACATAAGTTCAGAGAAGTGTCTAACTGTGTATGCATCATCCTTCCAACTTCATTCTCGGAAGGATCAAAACTTCATCTAAAATTGTTTTACGAAAATCTAAAAAATCACCTGTCCATCACACTCAGAGACTAATATAACTGAGTTTCAAGATATTGGATGCCAAGTGAATGATGAGTGCATGGCAACCATACACAGTCTCTAGGCTCCAACTCCTGCTTTTGAAATGTCTACCTTAATTCAACTCTTTGTGCTGATCACCTTCAAACAAATAGAAAGGTTTTCAAATTATAGCAATGGTTATATGATAGCAGAACTGTGCTAAAATGAACTTCTTTGAGATAACTATAAACAAACATTAAGGTAAATGACATTTTGCATCATAAAGGGTTTTGAATAAGCATTTTGAAATGAACACAACTAAAATTTTCAAAGATCTCTTCTTTTCTTTTTCAGATAGATGTGATATTTCAAAGATCCAGTTTAAAGTATTATTATGTCAAATCTCACGTTGTCAACTTCAGGTAACCACAGTTAATTAATTCACCCAAGAAAAATGCAAGTTTGTACTGTTTAGTTATTAACTTATTTCATCTGAAGAAAGGATGGAAAGATGTTACATATACCAAAGAAAAACTAGCATGTTCTTCTCACATTGCAATTGCTCCTACATAGAGTACAGTGGGTGGGTGTCTTGAGTAATCATAAAATATGATCTACTCTTCATCCTTTTAAAGACAAAAAGCATTCATTTGAAGATTCCTTCAATATTAGTTACTTCTGTTGATTTCATCTGTTTTATAGTAAATATCTCCTAGGAGTATTTAAAACACAGGAATATATATATATATATATGTATATACATGTATATGTATGTATATATACGTATATATGTACATATAAATTTGTTTATATATGAGCTAAGTACAAAGTGTATTAAATGTGATATAAATAGAAAGCTGGATTTATAATTTTCCATTATCCACTATGATTATTATCAAGTTTTATGAGCAGAGGGTAATCCAAGACTTAATATCTGTGTGACATATGAAGGGAATAATCATGACAATGAGTTGTATGAAGTATTTGTTTTATTTTCTTAAAGATATAAGTGGTATTGAAGTACTAGTACTATAATATTAAGAATAATTGCTAGGCTATTGCCTCACTTTGGTACCTTTCTTTTTTAGGCCAAGTAATGATGGTTTGAAAGCAGACATACTGCTTAAATTTCAGTTTCCCCATAACAATGTGGGCACTTTGAAAAAACAAGCTGATAGCATTTTGAACAAGAAGCTGCAATCCACCCAGAGTTCCTTGAAGAGAGACATTTCACTACCGTATCTTAGAGGCAAGAAAGATTACTTTTTTCTTTTCACAATAGTTAACTTTTAACTATCTTCTGTCTACAGAGAAAGCTCCTTTACTTCATGACAAAACAAAACCATTTGTATTCTAGGTCTCTAATGAACAACTTCTCACTCATTTGGCACCAAAGAGTATCTTTCCATTGTTGGAATGAAAATAATTATAAGAACTGTATAACTACCTAAATACATTTTTTTCTTATTAAAACAAAGCTATGTGACATCTTTTAATTAAGTAACAGTGTGCGTGGTATTTTAAAACAACCTAACTTCCATTATTGATACACTAATTTCTAAATCTCTATTTTTGGGCAATGTTTTCCCTATCTAAATCCAGAATATGATGACATAATTAATACACAAAATATAATATATGGGGCACAAATATTGTTGATCTCAAGTAGAGCTCATTTTAAATCAATGTTTTCTTTCTACAACACACAGAATAATCTTGTCCTGAGACGTAGAGTGAGCTGGAGAAAAAATGCCAAGCCCAGCTAGGGTGTATCTCAGCCATAAAATAAAATAAACAATCTCACTTTCAACACAGACATAAAGAAGTAGCTGATAAATATTTGGTATATGAGACTTTAAAAGGTCTTCATAATCAGGTGTTAACCTTTAAATCAATTTAGAAATTGTCATATCATATCAGAATTGTTTAAGGTAAAAAATGAGATTAGAAAGCTAACAGCAAATTACAAGTTACCAGAATATCTTCCCCCATCACTTTTTTCTGCAAAATTGTTTGAGAGAGTGAGAGTGATTATGACATATCAAAAAGAAAGTTGTAGTATAGAGTTTCTCGAAGCCGGAAAGAAGAAACAAATAGCTTCAAGTGAACCTAAATAGACAGAGTCGATTCCGAATCCAAGAACTGAACTTTACATGGCAGAGTTAAGACTCACTGAAAGAGAACTTTAGTTTGAGGGCTCAGAGTATATATGTTTTATAATTTTAATTTTAGAAATTTGCCTGTATGTGTATGTGTGCACAGGTGTTTGTATGTGTACTTGAGGGGTGGGATTCAGGGGAAGAATGATATATATACCTGTGCATCTATGCCAGCTGTAGAGTACAGACAAAACTATAAAATCTCTTCCTCACTCAATTACACTTAAATACTTTGTTTTTTAAGATTCACTCTTTCACTGAATCTAGAGCTCACTAACAGGTAGACTAGTTGGATAGCAAGCTTTATCTCTGCTTCCCCAACTCTGGGGTTGGGTTACAATAGCACTCTATCCTGCCTGGACTTTTACAAAGATGCTAAGAAGCCAAATTCCAGTTCTCATGCATGTGTAGCAAATACTTTACCAATTGAGCCATCACTCAGATTGCTACTTTTAGAAATAGAAGTTTATTTTGAACTTCTATTAAGAAAAATATTAGAAACTCAACTTCCTCATTTCTATAGTAATCCTACCTACACCCTATATTAATATCACCACACCCACCTCCTTATATTAATCACACTCCCATCCACCCCCTATATTTTATGGGGTATTGGTATCCTTCACAAGACTATGTCCAGACCTAGATAATTTTTTATCCTTATAGCTAATCTCTCAACTATCATAACTTCAGTTGTTTGACTAAGCAAAGCATTTCATATACATTTCTCATTCCTTTGAAAGAAGTAGTAATAATCCTTCCTGATATATTTCTGTGCTCCACAGATTTGTTCAGGAATATTTTGATTTTTATGTTTCTTGTTTCATTTTATTTTCCAACAGACTATGCTTCCTTGGGTACAGAAAATGTTTGCTGTACTCAGTAAAGCAAACAAACACTGACCTCAGCACTGGGAGGGAAATGGAGGGCTCAGGCCAATGTTTGCCCTTTAACCCTGTAAGCTAATTCAGGGAAGTGGTCAAGATACAGAAGGGGTTTTTAAAAGACAATTCCAGACTCATTCTTTTCTCTTTAGTATTTATTTCTATTACAATTTCATTATGATGGTTCTCATAACTCCATACTATTTGGAGTTTTCTCATTATTTGAACTTTAACAATCCTCTGTCTTTAACAATCCTCAAGAATTTTCAACCACTGCCTTTTTAACTCTCTTTTTAGACCCATATTTACTTTCCTCAAATCTAGAAAATTGCAAGTAGCTGTGTTCTGTAAAATACCCCATAGACACCAGAGGCTGCTCATTCAGGTTGTTTTACTCTGCTCTTCAAGCTGAATAATTCTTCTATTCTTCTCTAGTTCACTGATGCTATTCCCCTCATCCATCTGCACTAGAGATAACATCAAGCCAGTTGGTCTGTTCTCACTGTTTTTATTGTTCTTATATCTTGGCTATTTTTGCTTATTCGTATCATTTTCAATAATATAAAAAATTATTTCTTCTGCTTTGTTGATATTTTCTATTTTTTGCTTATTATAAAAGAATTTATCATTGATTGTAGCAGCTCTTCAAAATCTAGATCAATTATTTCTAGCATTATAAATCCCTCAAAACTAGCATTGGTTGGGTGTGTTCTGATTCAAAATGCAGATTTCCTATTTTCTTTTGTTCCATTTCCTATGAGAGTGTGTATATTCTAAACACTCTGTGCCAGGAGAATCTTGACCCTAAATAACCTTTTTTAATCCCATTTATTACACACTCAACCTGCCTACCATAGGAGTCTAGATTCTTATCTTCTTTTGTTATTTCAATGACAGTTCAGTCTTGTAGACTGTTGCAACACTTTTCTGTTTTGCTGCCTGTTTTCCATAGACTTAGAATGTGCTCCTCTGGAATGTCCTGTATTGTCACATCTTTGTTTGTGAATCTGGATCTCCTTAGGCCAGTGAGTAGAGACAGGTGTCTGCAGATGTTTCCACAGATGTTTTAGTTTGTCCATCAGTGCTTTGGTTACAACATGGGGATTGGGATGGCCAAGGGATTTTTGCTGTCTCTACAGAATTGGACTTCCAGGCTTGAGTTTTATAGTAGAGGTCTGGGTAGCTCTCTATTGTCCCTCCCCTCTGTTAGTACTTTGTATAGAAAGAATGGACATTTCCTGGGATTGTTTTCTCTGAATTTATTGATGGCCAAGTATTGGCAAACCTTTCTGGCCCCTAGTCCATGTCATAAATAAAATGAAAAGAAAGATCATAAAGCCCATAACTTATCCTTCCTCAAATTCTGAAGTCTTTCACCATTTTGTCATCTTTATAACTTCTAGAGTTCTTTTACTTTAATAAATAATTTTGATATCAAGTCACTTATATAAATTGTCACAGTAATACAATGTGTAATGTAATGTATGCAGGTCTCCCCATGCACTTTGTGTGTGTGTGTGTGTGTGTGTGTGTGTGTGTGTGTGTGTTATTGTACAAGGGCTCAAAGCCTTGGACATACTATGTGAAATGCTAACTAACTCCTCTAGTCCTCACCATGTACATTAATAAAATTGCAGACAACTTGTAATACATAATACAGCATAAATTATATGCAAGTACTTGATATACTATATTGTTTATGAAATATGGTGGGGAAAAATACATGTCAGATTCAGCGTTTTTCAAATATTTCTGACTGGGAGTTAGTTGAATCCACTGATGCAGAATCCACAAAAACAGTGTGGGATGCAGCTACTTACATTTATAGAAAAAACGTGGAAAGTGAGTCTAGTCAATCTTGGTCCAGATCTGGTTTTGCAATATTTTTATCAGGCAAAAAGAGCATATCTATTGGATCATGCATCTGTGTTAGGAGTAGCTTTTCCCCTGCCGGCCTGGGCCAACAACTGCCAGCCCCAAATAACAAACAGAGACTCTATTAGGTATAATTCTGTTGGCCAGTTACTTGTTTCTTATTGGCTAGCTCTGTCTTTTATTAACCCATTTCTATTAATCTAAGTGTTTTCATGTAGTCTTAACTTACTGGAGAGTGGGACTGCATTCTCTCTCTCCAGTCTCTACATGTTGACTCCTCCCTACTACTTCCTCGAATCCTCCTTGTCTCCCAGTCCCGCCTATCTTGCTTTCCTATTGGCCAACAGTGCTTTATTCATTAACCAGTATGAGAAACATATTTACAGAATGACATCTCCCATCACCTCTGTATGAGATATAGCTTCATCATAGAAGGAGATCATTTTCTATTTTGAATCAAAATGATAACACATTGGATGCAGGTGGAATTTGATATAATAGGGGAAAAAATGTGTGGTCCAATCCTAGATGCCAGGCTTTGAAAATGGTTTGAATGGCTGTCCTATATAACACCATGCAAGTGAGGCCAGAAAGACTTCTACACATGCTGTAGGGTATATGTAAAAATGGCCCTACACACTTTATTATTATTATTATTATTATTATTATTATTATTATTAACTTCTACCTCAACAAATTGGTATGACATTTATCCTTCAGACAAATAATGTCTGTCTATGCCAATGACTTTGTAGTTAGACCAGGATCTTCCTGGAATCCATGTTTATCCTCATTAGTACAGTTTTCCCCAGTCTGACAATTTTATGCCAAGTAGGCATTGTACTTTAAATTATAGCAGTTATGTCACTGATCAATGACCTTGATCTATTTTTTTTCCAGAAATTAATGCTGCACAAGCAGAAAATATTCTAAACAGCGGTGAGTCCAAGAATATCACTGATATGTAATTAAATCAAAGGACCAAACTTATAACACTCTGGCCTTTCTCTCCCTCCATGTATCTCATTTCTCAAATATCTATAGTACTTCTAGATCAATATGTGGCTTGCCTTTAATCAATGAGAATGCTACTAGAATGGTTTTTATTGATTCTATTATAATATTTTCTATTTGAGTAGTAAGATTCACTGTTGACCTCTTTAACAACTTCCTTGAATTTTTCTAATTTATTTTTATTTGGCTTACTTTGTTAAAATTTAAAAATTTGAATAGATTGAAATGAAATCCACTAGCTATAATATGTAAAATGTTTAATCATTTTAAAAAATATTATGGATGAAAATTATCTGTGCTGTATGCCAAATATCACTGGAGTAACATGTTACACACAACAGAACTCAGAAAATATGAAAAACTAATGTCAAAGAAAACCTGCTTCAAATACACTAAAGAAGATGACTGCTAACTTTTAATTATTAATGATTTAATTACAAGATATGTATACTTAATCAACTTGAATAGCTATCATCCTCATAGAATTTACTGTTGATTTCAATGAATATTTTAAAGGGAAGAAATATCATTAAATGCTTTCATGCTTAACTATTTGCTGAAGACATCCAGACACATTTATAACTGTGCAAATAACCATGCTATTTCCTTCTGGTTGGCAGATTGTGGCCTGGGGATGGAGTATCCACCCACTGCAAGAATTGCTGATGGCAAACCTGCAGACAAAGCTTCCTGGCCATGGCAAAGCAGCCTTCAGGTAGACGGAATCCACCTCTGTGGTGCATCTCTGATTAGCTCACAGTGGCTCCTGACCTCTGCTCACTGCTTTGACACGTGAGTCCTTAGGTTGCACCCTTGAGGTCCCCAGTGTCACCTTTTCTCACATTCATATTCCATCATTCTTATCTCCTCTTCATCTTTTCCATGAACATCTCAGCCCCTTCTTGACAGGAGTAGAAAAGAATATCAATAAGGCAAAGAATAGATTGCTTTCAGTTCCTACTGAATATATATTTTTGTAGCAATCCCAGTTTTACCCAGAAATAAGTCAACAGTGAAAAATCAAGTATGCTCAACAGTTTTCCTCAATTATATTGCAGTTTTCTTTCAATGCCATTATTTATAAACCTACCTATAATTCTCAACTGATATTCTACATGAATATCATTGGCTATATGTTTTTATTCTCTGGCTGACTGTTCAAGATTTGTCATTTGGCACTGTTGGAGGAAAAAAAGAGATATGATAACTTAGTTCAATTCAAATAAAATGGAGAAATATTTTGGGTAAAATGCCCAATGAAAGAGAACATTAGAAAAAAACATAAAATATGGCTACAGATTTATCTTTTGTGTGTTTCTGTGTATTCTGTCTCTTTTTTCTATGTCTTCTCTGTGAAACTGTGAATAAAAATATATAACTGCTCATGGTTATAGATATGTATGAGTATTTACAGAAATATGTGCATACAATTTTATTTAATATTTTAGTTTCTTCAAATAATATATTTTTATAACAAAATGCATACTCATCCTAAAAGAGAGCAACTAAACCTACTTTGTAATGGAATGTTTCTTATCAGCTAGAAATAAAATTATCAGGTTGGGAAAGCTTAAAACAACATACTGGGAAAGTTAAAATCAACTATGAACTTTAAGAATTTGTCCTTTGATCACATTTATATCCCACTGTCCATCTAGAAGCCTGGGTACCTCTAGACCAGAAATGAACCCACTGTGATGCTTTAATTTGCTTTCAGTTACAAAAACCCAAAACTGTGGACAGTCAGCTTTGGAACAACCCTAAGCCATCCACTGATGACAAGAAAGATCGCATCCATCATCATTCATGAGAACTATGCATCCCACAAACATGACGATGATATTGCTGTGGTTAAGCTCTCCAGCCCCGTCCTGTTTTCTGAAAACCTGCGCAGAGTGTGTCTCCCTGATGCTACCTTTCAAGTTTCGCCAAAAAGTAAAGTGTTTGTCACTGGATGGGGAGCCTTGAAAGCAAATGGTGAGTATCTCAGGAAAAACAAGGATGCCAACTATGCAAACCTAAGCTGCTTCTGCGTAGAAATATCCAACCACATACAAAAGTACAAAGTATAAATCAAGATAATCCCATGAAAATCACATAAAAATATGAAAACTTCAGCTATTACTATATTTAATATAGTGGTTAATGTAATAATATATAGATAGTCATTTTATAGACTGTTTTTGTACTATTAAAACTTTTTTTACAGAGTTTATCAGAGCATAATTTTTCACGTATCCTTTCTCCCCCATCTTTCATATGTAGGGAGTTGGTTAGTCATGATGAGATCCTGGAGGGTCAAACTGCTGAAATGACTGTCCCTTGGCCAAGGAGTCCAAATAGCTGTTCCTGCCTGACATTAAATACTAAATGGGAGCCTCTAAGCTGGGTATTTCTGAAGCTGGTGACAATATCAATTTCAGACATATGATGCTAAATAATACCCAATAAGCAGCAAACACAGACTTTTAGATGTGAATTCTTCTCTCCTTCAATAATTCCTGACCACAGTTTTTCCTCCCTCCACTCCTCCTAGCTCCCTCCCCAACTCCCTTTCTCCCAGATCTGTTTCTCCTCTATTTCTCTTCAGAAAACAGCAGGCTTCTGAGAGTTAACAAGCAAACAGATCAAATCAAGATAAAATAAGACAAGGCAAAAGCCTTTATTAGAGGCTAGACAAGGCAACCCAACAGGAGGAAAGGAGTACCAATAGCAAGCAAAGAATCAGAGACACACCTGCTCCCATTGTTACAATACCCACAAAAACACCAAAATAACAGCCATAGCTTATAGGCAAAGACCTCTAAGTCCGAGTTCCCAAATATGTCAATTATTTTATAAAAAGAAATAGAATTTCATATGAAGGGCATTTTTAATTGAAGCCATTAAATGGAAACATGAAAACATAATGACTTAAATAGTATTGCATTAAAGTAAATGGCACTTTTGTATTACAATAAATGAAAACAAATTGATCAATGTGGTTAGTGAAGAAAATATGATGGGTGTGTTATCTTCCTATTTGTACTGATGTTTGTTTTGAACAACAAGCCACACCAATTTCATTGTACACATCATCCTTCTCATGAAGCAGTTGGATCCCATAGACTGAAACCTGATTCTTGCTAATGCTATTCTTTCTAAATGATTTATAATTTAGAAACATCTATGTCCTTTGTGAAGTGATGCTGTAGGAGTTTGGAAACTGCCATTATTTATGTGTTTATTCAACTGGAGTAATCATGATATGATTCTTAACCTGGTGAACTTCAATTTTCTCAACTACAAATCTAGAATGCTCATATCTATCTTTAATAGTTTTTACAAGGACCAAATAAATGATAGTAATAAATGTGCCAAATAGTATCTTCACATAGAAGAAACCCCAAAGTTAAACTAATCCTGAACACTGCCATCCAGCCTCAAATTCTGCAACCTTAATACTGGTGTTTAAGCACAGATCTGTCATAATAATGAGGCTTCCAACAATTCTTCATTTATTTATTATTTCATATTCAGGTCCTTTCCCCAATTCTCTGCAAGAAGTTGAAATAGAGATCATAAGCAATGATATATGTAACCAAGTTAATGTATATGGTGGTGCCGTATCATCAGGAATGATATGTGCTGGATTCTTGACAGGAAAACTAGATGCTTGTGAGGTAAGTATAGCCTAATACACACACACACACACACACACACACACACACACACACACACACACACACACACAAACGACCCTTTGCAATAAGGATGGAGTCAGGGGGGAATGGGATGGGAGGGAGAGAGGAAGAAAGGGAGGGGGAGGTAAGAAGAGGGAACTTGGATGGATATGTAAAAGAGAAAAAATTTTAAAAAGCAAAAAAAAAAAAAAAAAAAAAAAAAGAAGAAGAAGAAAGAAAGAATTCAACACAGAGTAATGTCATTTAACACAGTTCAGAGAAATTAGCTTGTGGAGGAAAGAGGAAATGTGAAGAGGGACTAGAGTGAATAGACATATAGCTCCTCATGAAACACTATATTGAACAGAGGTTTCTCAGTTGCAAATCACAACTCTTATTAGAGACCAGTAATTCAGATAGCAGGAAACAAGCATAAAGCCACAGAATCAAGGCTCAGTCAACTAAACTTTGAATATCTCATTCCTAATAACTTCAAGACACAGAAAGACAAAATTTGCTGACATTTGTAGTTAAATAGCATATGCCCAAATAGAATTACACTATTTGGAAAAATGTAGTACATCACAGACCATTTTTCAAATTACACAAATAGCATTTTCTCCATACTTACAACACATTAATTTTAAGCACTAAGCATTTAAGCACATTATCAGTTCCAAATATGGTTATTTGAAGAACTAACATAACTAACAAGTTAAAGATGTGATCTATAGCATTTGTGACTGAACACAAGAACTTAGTGATTCCTTGAAGAACTATTATTGGCTCTGATAATTTTGCTTGTGTGACACTAGCTGTATGCCTTTATATATATTGACCTGACATTGGCTGTCATACAGTGGTAATAAATATGCATTCGTTTATTTAGTTGTTTTTAATGTTTTGTGAGTTACTGTGGACATTACTGAGGGAAACTAAAAATTTTAAAAATGCAGTGTTTGTACAATTTCATTAGGGCACATGTTTCTAAAACATAGGAAGAAAGTCAAGGTTTAGCTACACATTCTAGAATACAAGGTATCTTTTCAATTGCACCCTGAGAAGGAGTAACAAGATGTATATGAAACATACAATCCAATCACATGACTTAGAGAATAAACATGTTCTACACAGGAACTGGCATTCTTGTCTCATTGTCTTATACTCTCTTACTTCCTTTTGCTATTAGTACAGTAAGAACACATGGATCTCCATTACAATGGGGGCCTGAGCAAAAGGAGCTGAGGAGGATTGCCTTCAGTAGGTCAGGGTGTACCAGACACTGGAAGAGACTAAGAGAAGGAGGAATGTGGTAAGGAAGGAGCCTTAAAGTTGCTTCAGGAGCCTCTGCCTCCTCCAGATTCTACCATTTCCCTCATTTTAAGAAATTGCAATAAACTATCACAGGATTTTGTTTTTGGAAATGATAGTCATTCAAAGATAAAATTTAAATTATTTTTTGAAACATTAGGTAAAAGATAACTGAGAAATTTTCATGATTTAGGTCTCTGAAGGAGTTTACTGGGAACTTGCCTTAGCCTTTCAGTAATAAATACTGCACATTTGACAGAACATGCCAGAATACCCTTCTCCTGATTAGTAACAGTGGAGCAGTTGAAAATCTAATTTAAAACAAGGCATCACTTCTACCTAGTGGAGTTAAACAAGATTCATGAAAGAGTTAGCATGTTAGTTCGAGGTATAGATTTATTAGATAGCTAGGAGCCAATTAGCTCTCATTTCTGACATCCTTTTTTTTTTTTTTTTTTTTCTTACATTGATTACATGTTTTTCCTCTTTTCTAGGGTGATTCTGGAGGGCCCCTGGTTATTTCACATGATAGAAATATCTGGTATCTTCTTGGAATTGTTAGTTGGGGAATTGACTGTGGAAAAGAAAACAAGCCCGGAATCTACACCAGAGTGACTCATTATCGGAACTGGATTAAATCTAAAACTAACATCTAATGTAACAGCCATCCCTTATCCAAACTGGAATGTCACACATGGCCTCTGGCAAATTATATCCTTTGTTCACTGCCATGAACATGGTCATTTAGTTCAAGATGCAAATGAGCACAGAATGGTAACCTTCTTAAATTAGAAGGGGATAGACTTTCTTTCCCACCAAACATGAACACAAAGCATGTTGTCTACTCCACAAAGATTCACCATCCCATAAAGTGTCTGATCTCCTAATTCATATTTTTTTCAACTTACAGTAATTGGGAGGTTGAGTAAATAATAACTGAGCAGCCATCCTCTGATCGTTTCCACACCCTTTTTTGGTGCCTCCCTAGTTTTTGTCTTTTCATAGCAAATCCTCATTGGCAGTTTGTTGGTTCATTGACTAGACTTAGGCAGTTTGCCTAAGTCAATCCTGACAAAATGATGACAAAAGCATCAGACATGAAGCTAGGTCATAGGGATGGCAATGAGCATGTCCATTCCCTTTCATTTTCAGATATTCATTTAATCTTTCTCTGAAATGTTGTATTTATAAACAATTTAGCTGATACATATTTTGAAGCAGTGAATGAGTGCTTTTATACTCATATAGGAGAAGATTTATAGAAACTAATTCATATAAAGACCTTTCCATACATGGGAATTAAAAGTGATGTTTTTGACCCTTTCATTAATGAAATGCAAATGGGCAAGAGTCTACTAAGGTTACTCTCAGTTCCATGTCTAAAATGAGAGTATAAATTTATTTTCCAATTGTACCTTATATTATCTTTATTAGTTTTATTTAAAATTTCATTTACAACCAGATTTAGAATAATTAAGTACCTATAAGATGGCAAGTCAGCATAAATTAATTCCAAGAAAATATAAATGCCCAACATGTGAAGCTAAAGTACCAGAAGACATTCATAAAATATGTAAAGTACCAGAAGACATCCATAAAATATTTGATATAAAGTGTTAGTAAGAATGCTGTTGTGCAATATTTGAATTTGTTGTTAAATAGAATGTATATTCTGTGATAAGATATTTATATAAAATATTCCAATAATCAGGTAAACATCTTTAAAATACCTTAGCATTTTCATATGTATTTAGTTACATCTTGTAGTCTCACCTGTGAGTATAAAGTAGTAGCAAAGCAAACCCAGAATTATGCTGTACATCTTTATGTCTTTTTATAACTGATGAGTTAACTGCTATGTTAAGGTTTTCATTGGGATTTTGTATCGAGTCTTGTCTAACATATAACACTGGACACATTGAAATATATTTATAGTAATAAACCAAATTTTTCTCTCTGAGTTGTTACTGAGTGATCGCTCAACTTTCATGTTGTTGAAATTTTGTCACAGATACTTTTTGTTTGGGAAGTGGGGAAATCATCATGGCATTGTGGGCCACTTGGCAACATTCCTTATTTCTACACATGAGGTGCCTGTAGGACACAGTACCCCCACCACCACATACCACCACCCCTCTGTAGCTATCCCGCCAAATTGTAACATTCCAAACTAGCTCCAGACAGTAGCAACATGTTCTCAGTGGAGCAAGATTGACCTTCACTTAAGAACAGCTGCAATGAAATCATGAGTGAAAAAAATCACTGCAAAAATTCATGTACTTGAGGTCTCCTTACCCGCATTTGGAAATATTTTTTTAACCTTAATTGTAATAATGCCAGTACATTTTAAATTCTACTAGTGTGTATGGCCCTACCACACACACGCAATCCTAGCCAAAAGCAGAGCTTTCAGAAACTGAACTTGTTTGAAAGAAATTAAAGGAAGATCCATTTGCAAACAATCCATAGAAATACAGAAGACAGCTAGGTATTGATGCAGGTACAATGGAATTATCGTTCAGATTGCTATGTCATAATTAGCTGCTACAAGTATGATTTTGGATCAAATGCATTAAGTATTACTTGAAATGGCATTTATGGATTCAGCTGAGGCAGAATGGCTTAGCCTGTCACCTACTACCACTGCAGAGTAGAGAAACAAAGCATCACTAAGCCCTAAAAGATATTCTGTCTAATATGTTAGCCACTAACCAGATTTAAGTTCATCTTTAAATTTAAATTTTATTTCTTCATTTAGATTAATCATGTTGTAAGAAAAAAAAAAAAAAGCCACATGTAACTCTGGCAACATAAATACAGAACATGTTTGTCACCACAAAAAAAAATCTAATAGATACAACTTAACTCTACTATCCTAGAAAGCACCTATATATTGCGGTTAAATAAGGATCTGGATAAACAAATAGGCCAAATAGATGTTTATTCAGTGAGAAATATCTTATAATCTAAACAGATGAACACCAGCAAGTTCCACCAGATGCTCACCTCTCCACCACCTGCCAGCAAGAGAGTATTCCCGGGCTCCTCCTCAGACCTAGTTCCCCAGGTCACTTCCGCCCCTAGCTCCACCCCCAATGGGTGTGGTCATTGCCACAGAAGGAGACGAAGTGAATACCCCATTACAATTCCCCTTTTAGTCTAAAGAAAAGATTTTGGCTTTATACAAAACAGTGAGTAACAAGGGTGCTCTAAGTACAGAAAAATTGAGAACAAAAAGACCTACATATCTAGTCCTAGGGTGAAGGCAAAACGGAGTTTACAATAGAGTTGTCCTAAGCTGGAAAACTTAAGTCTAGTACCTAATATATCTAACTAGAAAAAGAGAATAATAGTTGTGATAGTTTAATCTCCAACCTCATCAAGACCTGAGAAGGAAAATAACGATACTAGGGTAGACAGGAAGTGCTGCTGGGCAGCTTCCAAAAGGTGCAGCGAGGACAGAAACAGCAGGCTACCTGGACAGTCACCCAAGGTACAGCAATGCTGATACACCCAGTTTTGGCTAAGGCCAAGAGTACTTGACAGACCACAACAACAGCATGGAGATAAAAAGGCTATTTTACCCTAACTTGGCAAGGTTCAGCAGTCTTCTATATTTGTCTCCTGCAAGCACACAGGACTGCACGTCCAAATCAGTGGTCAAGGTGGGAGCAGTTCTTTGCCCAAGAGGCCATTAGCCAAAGCGAGGATGAACTCCAGAAGGAGCAACAACAGTGTCCAACATATTTTCAGGAAAGTGCACGGTGCTGTCAGGAGCAATAGTGTCTCATGTCAATGGAGTACTAATATTAAAACATTTAAATACCATGTTCTGTATGTCTATGAAGTGATTGAAGATTAAGCATCTATGTCTGACTAATCTCATAGGTAAAGGAAACATGAGTGAAGATAATCTGTACTACTCAGGAACTTAGCTAAAAAACTGAATGAAACTTCCCTGAGTAAAGCAGGGACAAATACTTAAACAATATAACTATATACACATACACATATATATAAATCCCTAGAAATGTCTAGACAAGAGGTAGAACTATAAAGGGCAGCATGATAAATATCCCTAATTGTACCAATATACAAAATGTCTTGAATACAAGAAAAGTATACATACATAGAATATGGCAAGGATAAATGTGCATAAATTGTACCAGTATACGAAATGTCTTGAACATCAGTAAAAGTATACATACATAGAATATTGTAAGAATAATGTGCATAAAACATCATAAGTGAAAAGATTTCACACAATATAACACAATATAATATACAATTCTTCCAGGAAGGGAATAAAAACTTAATTTTACCTAGCTTACCACAAATAAGAATATATAACAATGTAAGCTGTACAATACTATTATCTTACTCAATAATTCACAAGAAGACAGGCTAATTTACCGATATCCTATCTAAACCATATCAGCGCAAACCAAGGCAGTGAGCACAGTTCTCACTGCTGGCAGTAAAGGTACACGCCACCATCTTTGGTAAACCGCACTGACACAGCTATGACTTTCATTTTAGCAATGTTGTTGTTTAACAGATAAAGACTCATGGCCACAAAAAGAGAAAGATTTACAGTAAAGACTGATTCACATTAAGAAAAAGCGCTAAAGGTTTACAGTGTGTTCTGAAATATATGTAGGCTTGGGAGACAAAAGGAATCAAATAGTTTTAAAAAGACAAAGAGGAACTGGGTGTTGTGGCACACGCCTTTAATCCCAGCACTCAAGAGACAGAGGCAAGCAGATTTCTTGTGATTTCAAAGTAAACCTGTTATGCAGAGTAAATTCCAGGACAGATAAGAGTTACACAGTGAAACCCTGTCTCAAAACATAAAAAAATAGAAAAATAAAGAAAGTAATAGTAAAGCCACGTAAAAATAAAAAGCTCAGAAAAAATCTGTATACTGGATGGCATTATTTTGTCTTTATATCGTTCGACTGCTGAGGAAACAACTGTTAAAGGAAATACTGCTGGTTCAATTCAATGTATATATTTTAAAAATGCTTTGACAAGTTGCTGGGGAAAAGGATTTCTATTATTGTTTCCACAGAAAATGAAAAGCTGTGGATTCCTTCCAGACTAACATGGTTTAATTAAGCCAGACACCCTGAAACACAGTTGTAAGTCCAACATTCAAAACAGTTGGGACAAGCCAGCCTTGCAGACTACAGCCAGGATTTCTGTTTCTTCTTAGGATCCCCATGACTGCGCCCCCTACCAGCAGAAAGCAGTTTGGAAAGAACAAAGCCCAAATTCCCAAATATTGTTTATAAATGTTTGTTTTCATTTAAATGGCGTTGGTTATAAATGGTTAATGAACACAACCAATATCTTTTTAAAGGTAAAAAGGGGATTATGGTATAGATATGAATACTTTGTTTTGAAATGGATTTTCATTTATTGATACAATTTAAGGTCAATTTTGTGATGTGTATATTTCTCCTTTTGTTTAGGTATTGTGTTTATGTAGCTCATTTAAAAATGATGTATAATTTAGTACAGATTCTAGATAGTAACCTATGATAGTCAAAGCTTAGAGTTAAGTTAGTTTTCAAGATACACAGAGATGTATTTGAGATAGATAGGAATTCTTCAAACCTTTCAAAGACCTACAGAATATGGCATTTAAAATGGTTTAGGGTTTTTCTTGACAGTGAGACATAAATTCTCCTGGCAACACCACCTATGTCAGAAAGGAAGACGGACATCGAAGAAACAATGTATGGAGTTTGCTTCCAGTATGGCAAGACTAGCCATTTGGGCAAGATACTGTTCTTGTCTGGACTGTTTGACTTTATGCTGTATAAACTGGACATGCAGGACCCACAGAAAAGTGACTACTGATGCAAGATGGACATTGCTACAGAGTTCCTGCTTCATGGAAGAGTCTGCCAGACAGTCTGCAGGACCCGGAGAAAAGTGACTAACAAACTGCCAATACAAGAAGACAGTTTAAAGTTTCTTGCTTTACTGAAGAGTCTGCCAGACACATTATGGCCTATGGGCTAAAGATGGAAAATTACAGAAGAACTTCAGGTGACTGTCCAGGCAGTTAGTTGTCTCTTGTCTTTTCTAGAGTTTATATACTATCCTTCTATGGTCTTTGATGGAGTTGAAGACAGATAATTATGGTTATAGTTTTCCTTAGTTAGGCTTAAAGATAAGTTACATATAGGACTTTAGACTCACAAAGATAGGATAGATGACAGAATAGTTTCTTTTAATCTTGCTAAATATTAATGGACTAAATGTTGTTAACTGTGATTCTTACTTGATAACTGTTGTGTTATATAATTTGCTTTGTTAAGGTTAAAACCCTTCTTTTTATTTAGACAGAAAAGAGGAGATGTCATTCTGTAAACATGTTTCTCATACTGGTTAATGAATAAAGCACTGTTGGCAAATAGGAAAGCAATATAGGTG